AGCTCGGGGTTACCGCTTTTGGTGCTGAAACTATCCCGAGCTACACTCAGGAATACAGCCAGGGAGATTAAATTCCTTGGGGTGTCTACTTTCCAAAAATGGGTCATTTCGGGGGTTTGGTGCTATCCTGGCATTTCAGGGCCTCTGAAACTGTGATAGGTAGTGAGGAAGTGAAATGAGGAAGTTAGGCAACTTCAGGCTTTCAAAGTGATCACTGGATTTCACGCTGCTGTATGTGGCTAGGCTCCCAAAAAGTCTCATACATGTGGTATCCCCATACTCGGGAGAAGTAGCTGAATGTATTTTGGGGTGTAATTCCACATCTACACATGGCTCGTGTGAGCAATATATAATTTAAATGACAAGTTTGTATTAAAAAAAAAATGTTTTTGTCATTTTCCAAAAACTTGTGGAAAAAAAAAATCTTCTATGGACTCAATATGCCTCTCAGCAAATAGCTTAGGGTGTCTACTTTCCAAAAAGGGATAATTTGGTGGTTTTTGTACTGTCCTGGTGTTTTAGCACCTCAAGAAATGTGATAGGCAGTCAGAAAGTAAAAGCTGTGTAAATTCCATTATATATACACCATAGTTTGTAGACGCTATAACTTTCACACAAAGCAATCAATATACACTTATTGGGATTTTTTTTTATCATAAAGATGTAGCAGAATACATTTTGGCCTAAATTTATGACTAACTTTGAGTTTACTATATATTGTTTATAGCTGAAAGTAAAAAATTTCGGTCTTTTTTTGTTTATAGTGCGAAAAATAAAAAGCACACAGGTGATCAAATACCACCGAAAGCACTATTTGTGTGAAAAAAAAAGTACGTAAATTTTGTTTGGATACAGCACTGCATGACCGCGCAATTATCAGTTGAAATAGTGCAGCGCCGAACAGCAAAAAGAGGCCTGGTCAATAAGGGGGGTAAATTATCAGGATTGCAAGTGGTTAAAGCGCAACCATATTGTCAGAAATAGAGTAGGATCATATATATGTTTCTACTCCTTGTAGAAGAATGTTTTAAATACCAAATGTAGTGGGAAGATCCTTTCAGCTCTAAGAGACCCTCTGATTGTAGGGTAGTATGTACTGCATCAGTTAGGTTGATGCAGGTTATAAATCTGAGTAATATAGTATTTGCTTAAAAACAGCCTCCGAGCAGAATTTGAAGATTCTGAATAAAAGATGGTAATAGGGGCCTCAGGCACAGAGATGAAGGCCCAGAAAGGTGAGAGTGAGACTTTTAATGGGGATGGCACCAAAGCGTGCTTAGAGTCTCTTCACACAGTTTGCTCCATTAATTGTGCATAAACCGACAAAATACCTAAAGTGGACATAAGGGGCTTTTGGACAAAGGAGAGATCTGGGCCACTGTAAACGGAGTTTAAGACGACACAGATGAGGAGGACTCTATAATAGGGGTCTTAGGATCTAGGCTAAAAGGTGCTGGTCCTCCTGGGGAATACCAAGCAATCATCCCTAGAAGCAGTAAGATAGAATGGTTTGAAGGCATCTAGTAAAACGGTACTATCCTCTGTGTTCAAAAGATATGATAAACGTGTAGTAGAAAACAAGAAGGTCCAAGGTGAGGTAAAGCCTTGAGCACTCACAAATCCAAGCAGCTGGTGGTAATGAAGGTCGCATTTGGTCAAAGGTGACCAAGTCAAATTTCTCAGTTCTACTGGTTACCAAGGATGAAACCAGTGGCTGGCAGGCAGAAAAAAAAGCAAAGTGTGCAACTGCACAGCAGTGAGGTGGCTTCCGCTGCTTCAGACTGACCAGCTTTACTCACTAGGTGAGTCTTAGCCACTTGACATCTGGCCACTGTATATAAACGGCCGGACGGTGGCAGTGCAGGGGCGGGTTGCCGTACATAAACGGCGCACGCCATTTTGGACTGTGCACGCTCCCTGGGAGCGCGCAGCACCTCGATCCAGTGCCTGCTGTGTCCTCGGGACACAGTGGAACACCGACCGTCATACGGGACCTCTGTGCGAGGTCCCGATCATGTGATCACTGATTGGAGAATCAGTGACCACATGCAGAGTAGTAAGCAGATGTCACTTCTGACATCATTGCTTACTATGTGTGAAATCTGTGAATGATCACAGAGGTCACATGGTACAAGGCTATTCACAACAGTCTTGTACCATGTGAAAAGCTGTGACCAATCACAGCTCACACAGTATTTCTTAATGGCTGCAAAAATGCAGCCAGAGAGAAGGACAAATGATTGCTTTTACAGCCTTTATGGGTGTAAAAGCAATCAGTGTAAAAAAAAAAAAAAAAAAAAATCATCACCCCCCACAAGTAGAAACAGTGTCACCATGGTGACACTGTACTGCTAGGGTGACAGTATGTAAAAAGAAAAAAAAAAAAAAAATATAAAAAAATTAAATAAAAATGTAAAAAAATGTTTTAAAAATTATAATTTTTGGTTATAAACTACTTTGGGTTATTTTTTTTTTTTACCAAAAAGATGACTGAATAAATCTTGGCCAAGATGTATGATGAAATATTATTTATTTGCAAAATGTTATAAGAAAAACACTTTTTTTCTAAATTTGTGGACTTTTTCATTTATATAGCAAAAAAATAAAAATCCCAGTGGTAAATAAATTCCACCAAAATAAAGCTTTATCTGTCTCAAACAAATGCTAAAAAATTCATATGGGTACAGTGTTGCATGACCACACAATTCAAAGTGTAATAGCGCTGAAAGCTGAAAATTGGCCTGGACAAGAAGGGGGTAAAAGTGTCTGGACTTGAAGTGGTTAAGAGACTGGATCAAACCAGAGACCATGGTTCTAGATCTGGATAGTGCTCTGCTAACAACAGTAAGCAAAGGTCTAGGATGTGCAACATTACAGAGACAATGCCTGAAGGACATACTCTAGGCTAGCCTCACAATATTCCATTCCAGTGGGGTCCAGGTACAGCCTCCATAGTTGCTGCTGAGGATACACCAATCCAAATAGCTGCTGTGTACTGACTAGCTCAAGCAGCATTTTTGAAGCCTTGACTGAAGTTGCTGAAGAAATAAATATCTACGATGTATGGAGTATCTTGAGGAGCACAAATAAAAATAACAGCAGGCAGTATGTGCAGCAGTGAAGTGACGAGGGTATTACAGCAGGCAGTATGGCTGTGCAGAAGAGGCATGAGGAGGAGAGATTGGCAACAGCATATGCAGGAGAGAGGAAAGCAGAGGGGATGATGGCGGCAGAACGTGCAGCACAAGAGTGCAGAGAATACAACAGCAAGCAGTATGTGCAAGAGGGAAGTGCTGAAGGTATGAAAGCGAAATGGCAAAAACGGACAAAAGTGCAAAGGGTACAGAAGAATGTCTGATGAGTGCGCTAGGGGTGGGATCGTAGTGAACTGGATAGACTCATTACAGGCAAAGCAAGATAGTTCAAGCCGTGATTTGTCATAATTGTGATGATTATGGCTTACAGCTCATGAAAACCCCAAATCCACAATCTCAGAAAATTAGAATATTACATGCAATCAATAAAACAAGGATTGTACAGAGAACAATATCGGACCTCTGAAAAGTAAAAGCATGCATATGTACTCAGTACTTGGTTTGGGCCCCTTTTGCAGCAATTACTGCCTAAATGCGGCATGGCATGGAAGCAGCCTGTGGCACTGCTGAGGTGTTATGGAAGACCAGGATGTTTCAATAGCGGCCTTCAGCTGTTCTGCATTGTTCGGTCTCATGTCTCTCATCTTTCTCTTGGCAATGCCCCATAGATTCTCTATGGGGTTCAGATCAGGCAAGTTTGCTGGCCAATCAAGCACAGTAATCCAACGGTCATTGAACCAGGTTTTGGTGCTTTTGGCAGTGTGGGCAGGTGCCAAGTCCTGCTGGAAAATGAAGTCAGCATCCCCATAAAACTCGTCTACGGAAGGAAGCATGAAGTGCTCCAAAATCTCTGGTAGATGGCTGCTTTGACCCTGGACTTAATGAAGCACAGTGGACCAACACCAGCAGATGACATGGCTCCCCAAATCAACACAGACTGTGGAAACTTCACACTGGACTTCAAGCATCTTGCAGTGTGTGCCTCTCCATTGTTCCTCCATACTCTGGGTCCTTGGTTTCCAAATGAGATGCAAAAGTTGCTCTCTTCAGAAAAGAGGTCTTTGGACCACTGAGCAACTGACCAGGTCTGTTTTTCTTTAGCCCAGATATGACACTTCTGACGTCGTTTGTTGTTCAGGAGCGGCTTGAAAAGAGGAATACGACATTTGAAGCCCATGTCCAGGATCCGTCTGTGTGTGGTGGCTCTTGATGCACTGACTCCAGCCTCAGTCCACTCCCTGTGAAAGTCCCCAACACTTTTGAATGGCTTTTTCCTGGCAATCCTCTCCAGGCTGTGGTCATCCCTGCTGCTTGTGCACCTTTTTCTTCCACACTTTTCCCTTCCACATAACTTTCAATTAATGTGCTTTGATACAGCACTTTGGGAACATTCAACTTCTTTTGCAATTACCTTTTGAGACTTTCCCTCCTTATGGGGGGTGTCAATGATGGTTTTCTGCACAACTGTCAGGTCAGTAGTCTTTCCCATGATTGTGATTCCTACTGAACCAGACTGAGAGACCATTTAAAGGCTCAGGAACCCTTTGCAGGTGTTATGGCTTAATGAGCTGATTAGAGTGGGACACTTTGAGCCGAGAATATTGCACCTTTTCACAATATTCTAATTTTCTGAGATTGTGGATTTGGGGTTTTCATGAGCTGTAAGCCATAATCATCACAATTATGACAAATCACGGCTTGAACTATCTTGCTTTGCATGTAATGAGTCTATCTTATATATTAGTTTCATCTTTTAAGTTGCATTACTGAAATAAATGAACCTTTGCACGATATTCTAATTTTTCGAGTTTCACCTGTATATAGGATAGGAGTTGTGTCACATACACAAATAAAGGTGTTTATCCTCTCTGCTTCTTACAAAAAAGAAAAGCTATAATTAGTCACCTGCATAAGTAGCAGCTGGGCAGGCCTTTCAGGAGGTGAGGTCATGAAGTCAAGGTGTTTAGACCGGCCGTAACCACTCATCAACAATGTAGGGCACACTAGACGAACCACTGAAGAGTAGTCCCCTATTTCATGTAATCGTTGGATCTCCTCCAGTGACTGGCATCTCTCCAGAGACTTTAGACTATTCTCAATCTAGAGAAAGAAACACGTGTGAAAATCTATACAACTGTACCTGTAACATCACATTTTAAAAAGATAATTTATAAATGTCATATTAAATTAAAAGCTTGACCAGCACAACAGAAACAGAATTCACAGAGCAAATGCTTAGCGCACACAGAGATGTATTTTGTAGTCAGCAAAGGTGCAGGGCTGTGGAAATTTTTGGAAAAACTACTTGTCCAGGGACAATCAACTTGTCCAGCATAACAATCTACTTGTCCAGATAAAAATTTTTATTTTTAACCAAAACTGTATTTAAATTAGAGGTGATATTAGGAATGTCTGGGGCTTAAAAAAACAAAACGAGCTTTATGGAGACTTAAAAGTTTAATATTAATATTTTTAACATTGCGTTATTTATAAGGGGAGAGACCTTGCAGTGTAATGAGCACCGATTGGCTGCTCCTCAGGAAAGGGTAGGTCAGGGCTTATCCTTTATACCTTTCGCTGCCAGAGCTGTTTTTGCATTTTTTGCGCTGCCAGAGCTGTTTTTGCATTTTTTGCACAAGTTTAAAAAATCATTTTAGGCCTGAAGATTGCATAAAAACCCCAAACATTATATATTTTCTGAAAGCAGAGACCCTAGAGAATAAAACAGTGGTAATTTTTTCTGTCGCATGATATTACTGCAAAATGTCAGTATAAAATGCAAGTTATAAAAAATTACCCTATTTTTTTTGTAAAATATAAAAGATGAGGTTGCACCAAGTAAATAGATATCCAACTTGTCAAACCTTACATTTGTGTGCGCTCTTGCAATGGCGACGAACTTCAGTACTCTATACTTTCTATGGGTCAACACTTTTAAAGCTCCTTATAGGTCATCAATTTAGCATTAGGGCTCGTTCACACTTGACTTATTTCTAATTCTTGCCAAACGCCCCTATAGCATTTGACAGGCATTAGACAGGCATTTGGGAAGTGTTTTTAACGCTCCCCAAACGCCCTATGTGCAGTTTTGAGGCGTTTGATAGGCGTTTACCAAGTGTTAAAAACCGCACCACAAACGCCTATAATGAAGTTAAATGGTATTAAAGCCTCGCAAACCCCTGCCAGGCGTTTGAGGAGCGGCACCATAGACTTGAATGGGAGGATTTAACTCCTCCTGACTCGACATGAGGCGTCAGTTTTGCCGTGACGTGGCGCTAACGCTTCAGTGTGAACAGCACTGTGTGCTGCCATGTGCAGAATTTTCATAGGCGTTTGAGAAGCGTTAAAAATGCTTCCCAAATGCCTGCCTGACAAAGCTAGTGTGAACGTAGCCTTACGGAGGAAGTCTGGTGCTAGAATTATTGCTCTCATTCTGGCATGCATGGCGATATGTGACACGTGTATCTCAATTGATGTTTTCATGCGTAGGCGCCCCAGCGTGTGCTATTACGCTTGTACGTGTGCATATGTGGGGGGCCTCAATTTATTTTTGTGGGGGTGGGGGAGATAGTATGTGCTTGGGTGTAACTTAATTTTTTTACAATTTAAAAAAAAAAAACCTTTGCTTTTTTACATCACATAGGGGATAAAGTCCCCTATGTGATGATTTTTTGGTGACAGGTTCTCTTTATTGAGGCATCCAGGGTCTTAAAGACCCTGCATGTCTCCCCAGTGCTCCACTGAATGTAATGCAGTGCACATCGCACCGCATTACATTCTTTCCCGGCCTCCATAGCCGGGAATTTCTCAACGGGGACCTGGACGTGACATCATAACGGCACTTCCGGGGCAGGACAAGAAGGAGAGGGGAGTGGACGTGTCCCCACTCCTCCCTCCCCTTTAGCCGACGGTGGTGAGCCGGGCCCGGGACCGCAGATGGGCGTTAGGAGACTCCCCCGGGGGGGTGTTGGGTTGAGAGGCTGGTGCACCGTGTGGAAGCATACCGGCGGCAGTCTCCCGAATGCTTCCACCTGACAGGTGAGCCCACTGCTTGCCTGTATAGGTAGAAAAAAACTACCTGCCGACATCCATAACTACATATCCTGGGCGTCAGGCGATAGGAGTCGAACATTCCTGAGGTGTTATATTAAATTGGTTTTAAAGGCAGAAGGTTTTTTACCTTAAAGTGGAACTTTAGGCAAAAAATAAACATGGGTAGACAGGCAGGATTTTTAATGCAGAAGAGATGTGCCTTGTCTCTTCTGCATTAAAGCTACCTACCTGCCTGTCCACCCCTATACAGTGAGCTGCACAGCTCACTGTACAAATTCGGCAATGCCGAAATTGATGGAAGTACCACACATGTGTAGGAAGCAAGCTGCTCGAAGATGTCAGCGGCCAGGCAGAGAGCTCTGGGACAGAGCATCACGGGATCGGAGGCGACTATAGTTTCGCTTTAATGAATTCTATGCATTAAGTTAAAAAGCCTTCTGGGTGCAGCCCCCCTTCAATCCAGCGATGTGCATGAAAGCGGCGGCTCTCCCAGATCTACCTCTGTCAATCACAAGCAATCAGGAGAGAGTGGGGGGTGGGCCGGGCCACACTTTGTGTGTGAATGGACAACGTCCATTCGAAGGAGCGCAGCGCAGGAGAGAGCCTGCTCAAGTGCCCCCACAGCAACAGGCTTGCTATTGGGGGCACTTGGCAAAGGGCAGGAGCCAGGACCGCCACCAGGGCACCCAAAAATAAGAGAATCAGAGCTGCTCTGTGCAAACCTCTATAATCACTTTAAGCTTCTAACATTAACACATCACAAAAACCATCAAAAATGCGCATGGAAAAAAAATGCAAAGCTCGGCAGAAAACGGGCCTCAAAAAACGCATCACCCACACATGCATAGATGTGAACCTAGCCTTAGAATCTTTGCATGATTCTACCAGACTTGCCAGAAAATTAGAGGTTTTTGAGGTTGTGTCAACAGTAAACTTATTGGATATAAAGTATAAACCTGACACATTGGTACTCAGGGGTTTGAATGAGGATCTGGATGTACATACCATTCTGTAGATTGCACATCTGGTTTCATTAGATTATTATATTTATTTTTTTTATGATTTTCATGTAAGCTGTGGGGTGGTTTAATAAGGTATTTGAAGAGGGTTTCCATAGTAAGGGTTTCTTAATAAAACATTGTAATGAGTTCAATACTGCTCTTTTACATATTTTTTATATACATTTTTGGATTTAGTGTTCACAACATTGATTGTAATTTTTTTTAATTTTAATCTCCTTTCAGGTTCGAGACTGGGCTATTGGACTAGTACTACTACTTTATTATTTGTACGCATAGGTCCTTTTGAGTCTGTTGTTTATTTAAAATGATATAAGGATATGGTTATATAATAATGTACATGCTTGTAGGCTTGGGAACCAAAGGATAAATGTTAGAGGGTACATGCTCTCCTCCTGTTCTGCCCACCTCAGAGGGGAGAAAAGAAGCATTTCAGGAGCACTTGGATGGTCTTGCGACACACATAGCCTTCTTTTGACACGTACATGAGTGTATACTATATACATTAAAGGTGTTGTGATTCACTGCTGATACAGTTTTATGTTCATTCTTACCAGTGCATACAGATATTGAAGGAGCCATTTCATAGCACACCAGTGTGGACTTTGATGTCATTTGGAAGTGGGATCCTCAATATAATTCATGCATTTATCCTCAATATAATTCATGCCTAACTGTGGTGCATTATATCCTTATTAAACAATCTATAATTAGAGCGGTTGTAAAGGTTAAATATTTTTTACCGTAATGCAATCCTTGCATTAAGGTAAAAAATATCCTAGTGTTTGTATGCCACCCCCTATACTTACCTTGCTCGATCCAGCACTGTGCCCGTTTATAGCCACTTTTCTCCTCTCTCTGCATTCACAGGACAGAGAGGCAGCAGTGAGAGCCATTGGCTGCTGATGCTGTCAAATACTATGAGCAAAGAGCTTTGTGTGTCTATAGATGCACACAGTCTGGCTCGGGAGCGTACCTGTATGTGCATCCCATAGGAAGAGGCTTCCTATTGTGGCACAAGGAGAAGAAAAAAGCTGTGAGCGCAAGCAGCGGACCCCAGAAGAGGAGGTGTGGGGCTGCTCTGTGCAAAACTAATACACAGAGCAGGTAAGTATAACAGGTTTTTATAAAAAAATTAGGCTTTACAACCTCTAACCTTTACAACCTTTACCTTTTCAGGTATACGTTATTATTGGCCCTATACCTCTCAATATGGAGTGTTCATTTTGCAGGTTGTTTTGCACTTTTGGGTTGTTTTCCGTTTTCTCTTCTGCAATAAATAGTCTGCTCGTAAGTTTAAAAATGCCTTCACTTTCATTTTAAGTCCAGCAGCAAATGGTTTCACAAACAGGGAATTTTAGAGAGTGTATTTTAGCGCACAAGATAACTGTCTGTTGTTAGCTATCCAGTACTTGATAAGTTTACCCGAGTCTAAACCCACAGCATTTACTTTCAGTTGCCCACATACCAATGCAGCTTTCATTTAGAGCCCCCAAGAATCAAGTACTGGGGCCAGCTCCCTACTGCATTTTGCTATTGGTTAGTGAAAGCATCTATCTCACTGATGGGTTAATACTAAGTGGGAATGAGGGAAGCCCAAGCACTTGACAATAATTGTGGGGGCACTCAAAAAGAATCCTATGCCGACACTGAAAACTGACAGTACAGCCAGAAATAATTGTAAATTAAGTACTAACCTCCTCCACAGAAACAGTAGAGTCTAGCTGTAGATTTGGTAATCTTATTACCACAGATTCCTCCTTTTCTTTTAGTCTGTATTCTCTAGCTTCTGGAGTTTGAAAGAGGTCAGTACAGATGTCAAAGTTTTCTAAAGCCTGTTCCATGTCTCCCTAATTAGAAAATAAAAACCATAATGCAATTATCTACATTCTATTAATATACGTTGAAGAAAATCCATAAATAAGCATATCACAAATTAAATGGATAAGAATAATTATAATATAAACGCTTCAGTCAGTGAAACAATGCCAGTATTGGTCTATCAATCAACTGACCTGGAGAGCCAACAATCTTGCCTTCAGCCAGTAGACTCTCACTACATAGTTGAGCCAGCCATCTAGAAACAGGTCACGTTGAGAAGCTGCAAAACCCATCATCATCTGATCCTCCAAAAAGTGAGATCCAGAGAACTCAGGTCCAAAGCAGTCTCCAGCAACACCAACAGGACACTTCCAAGGAGATGCTACAAAGGCAAATATGCTACTATTAAGTAAACACGTCCAAATGTGCCATACAATGAAAATATGACCGTGGAATCTACTCTGTACAAAAAGCAGAATTCAATAAATACCTGTGCCATTTTTCACTTTGGATATAAGCCACTGGTCCAGCTGAAGCTCCATGCAAGTCAAACTCATAACCATCATGTCCTGTTAAGACAGTGAAGAAGAGGGATACGTGACCTTTAGCCCATATTTATACTTGAGGGCATTGTACGTAGGCGATTTTGTGGCATTTTAAATGCTTTTTATAAAAGTGTGGTGATGTACAGGAGCTTCTAAGGGGCAGGATCGTGAATGCTTGACACCGTAGATTGTTAACATGGGAGTGCCTTAAAATTGTTTGCAACATGCGTTTTTTGCATTTTTTTTTCGCGTGCCCTCACTGAAGTCATTGGGGACAAAAACGCTTGGAGCTTCAGGCGTTCAGCTACTGGCAGCTGAATGTTCACATATGAACAGGGACCATTTAAAAGCATTGGACTTGGCTCGTTGAGCATTTTGGAGCTTTAAACTTGAAGCTACAAAATGCTCAGCTGTGAATGGACCTTATATGCTAGTCTAATAGTAGCCAATTGCAGCAACATAGAAGAAATATTTCTAAGCGTGTCCTCCCTTTAGAAACATGAAATCATCTTGTAATACATTGGACAGTCCTCAGTTCTGCTCTCATAAGGGCACAATTCACAAGGAACTCTTGTTTCCCATATCTAACTGAAACATATTGGTCCTGCACAATAAACCTACCATTTTACACTGAGTGTCTTACTTTTATTTTTTCACGATGACCTTTTCAGATGTCTACAAGAAATATATAAACTAAACTTAAAAAAAAGTTGACTGAGTTGAGGTTATAGCCCTCCCTTACTCCATCAAAACAAAAAAACAAAACAAAAGGTTTTGCATTTAGAGCTACTTAAACGTTAATATTTAAAATATACCACACAGGCCTAATGGTTTACTTTACCTTTAATCGAGCATATCAAAGAAAACAGTGGGTAAAACTGAGTGAAATGATTATAGATGGGGTTGCTCAATATATACCAAAAGCCACACAGAAAAATATGACAGCATTTTGGTAAATTAGAATCCAGTAATAAGTAAATTTTTTTGCCCTTACAACATTTATCTCAGAGAAAGGTGTCCATAACACACTAACATAATATAGTTTGCAAACTTAAATTGGGAAATGTAGCCTTTATTGACTGGATGACAGCCTAGGACCTAGTTCAGTTCATATTCTGAAACCAAAAATGAGTAAGAGTGCAGTAGGCAGCCAAAGAAACACCAGTTTATCATGGCTGCCCTAAATCTAGGCAAGTCAGAAACATATATTGCTGTCCTTCTTACCCGAATGTGCTGGTTCTTGCAGTCTCTGAGTAGTGGGTTGGGCAGTCCACTACTGTGCTTCCGCCAGCTAATGTATATATTAAGCACAACATCTGCTAGTCCTGGAGGCCACTTCACCAGAAATTTCTGAGCAATCACTTTCAGATATCTCATCAAAAGTTCCAGAATGCCACCATTTTCCAGATTAGCGAACAAAAATTGGTGCACATCTTGCTTCTCTGTAATGACAGTATATGAAAAAGAAGTCAGATCTTAATTCACAAAATTGTATGTGTACCTAACGTATATATTTCCAGTGGATCAACAAAGCAAGCATATAATATCAGTAAAACTAATTGGATACAACAGAATATAGGTAGATATTAACTTGAATGGCAGTGAAGAAAGCTTTTTTGAAGAGTGTTTATGCATTTATACTGACAAGTCCTAAAAATTATAACAGCATTAGAATGCTTAACGAGGACTAATCATGGCTGGGTCTAAGCCATAGAGAGGGCTAAAATTCAAGGTACTTATATAATCAGGTCCCCAACCCATAGGCCAAATCAATGTATTAAAAAGTGTAAGAAAAAAAAAACAAAAAAAAAAAACCACAGGAAAAAAAAAAAGTTATTATACTTACATTATAATCCGAAATCCTCCTGCGCTATGAGACTGGAAGTACTAAACCTATTCTATAGCTGCCAGCAAGGGGCCAACAGGCTTGCAGGATCACCCTGGATCCTTGATTTGCAATGGCCAGCAGCTTCCTTCCTTCCCTGGATCTCCTTTGAGGGGCTCCTAATGCCCCTAATCAGTCAGGGTGGTCCTGAAGAGTAATAGCTCACCAATCCAGTGAGCCAAAAAAGCCTCTAAGTGCAGTATTTAGTCAACTTGGTTTATTTCAAAGAGTAAAAAAGAGTATCACTCACATTACAAGCAGTCTTTCCTCCTCACTGATGTGTGGGTGTACTGCATGTGAATGGGACCTCCTGGGTGTAGCAAAATGGCGTCTCACGCCGGAAATGCGTCACCACGCACCGGAACTACGGACTCGCGAACCTACGCGTTACGTCACCGTCTGCTCGTGACTTCATCGGGGTATCGCACTACGAGCGCAGTCCCTCCCTTTATACTGGACCTAATGTTATAGCTTAACTAGAGGCCCGCCTCCCATGCATTCAACGGTGCCCGCGCCATTTTCTCGACTACATCTCCCATTCAGAATGGCGGCCATTTTTCTGACGCCCTCCTTTCATTTAACCTGCCGCATAATACAGTATATAATGAATGGGAGGATCTCCTAATCCGAATAGACACCGCAACGTAAGAATCATTAGCTATAACTCGGGGAATCCTAACTCACTAATTAAATTAGTAATAAACCTTTATTAGGGAACTGAATTGTACATGCCAATAAATCCCTCAATCCTATATATAAAAACAAAATATTCTTGTTGGGTTTTACTAATAGAGTAAATAAATATAAATACTAACTAAATAAATAGACACTCAGTCTACAAATCTGGGGGATGGACTAAGGGGATAACCATATACTTTATACCGATAAAAATAAATAAATATAAATACGTGTAGAAAAATGAACTAATTATGTATAAAAAATATATCAAAAATCCCTACATCATGTAATCTACCCACACATTTACATGATTCAATATTAAAAATTATTAAAATATATGCTGTGTAACCACAGCAAATATACATCCAAAATGATTCCCAATCAATAAAAAATATATAAACATAATAAGAAGAAAATCTTAAAACACTATCTACCATCTCCTATAAATACTGATTAAATTGTTGTTTAAATCTAAGACATTATTATTAGTAGACCAATAGTTAATACATAACTACCTCAATAAAAATTTAATAAACTTTTAATAAATTTAATAAAAATTTAATAAACTAGTGATACCTCAAATTTATACTTCTAATAGTAAATAGATAATTACATCCGTTTGAATTCAATAAAAACAGTGATCCTTCCGATATTTACCTCTAATGGGCCTTAATGGGCAAAGAATTGTTCACAATGTAAAAGGAGTGAATAAAACACATCTCAGTAATCACTGATAAAACTATTTAGGTCGAACTCGACATTTTGTCACTATTGTATTATATTATTTATATTGATATATTATCATTGAGTTGTAGACACAGTCTTTTAGAGCGCTGCACTGTTTGTTTATGATTATACTTACATTACCCCCAGCCTCTTGGCGAAGGTGAAGTCAAGACACTACGACACTTCTAGGAACTGTAAGAATTCCAAATATAATTAGGAGGTGCTGCAGGAGCATCTTCTCATGATATTTGGAATCCTCAGCGCTTCTAAGATAATACCATCACTTTCTTCAGTATGAAAGCTGGGATAAGATGAGTATATGAACTACCTGTTTAGCTTTACTTTGCTTGTCTGAGGTTGGCTCTTAGAGCTAATGAGGTCTAAGAATTGCTGCCCGGCTCCTAAGTTACATACTTGTTTAAAGTCTTGCTAATTAAAGTGTGCCGTTATGTGATAATGTTATAAAAACTCACAGGCAGCATGAGTTATCAAACCAAGGTCAGGGAGTTGGCCGTCGGGTCTCATGTGTCATCATCTCTAACTTCTGAGGCCTCTACACAAAAAATGCTAAAAAATTCATATGGGTACAGTGCATAACCGCACAATTGTCATTCAAAGTGTGATAGCGCTGAAAGCTGAAAATTGGCCTGGACAGGAAGGGGGTAAAAGTGTCCAGACTTGAAGTGGTTAAGATGCTTTTCAATTACCATTAACTTGTATGAGCATAAAAGCAATTCTAAAGTGAGCAAAAGCCCATGTACACAAGCCTTAATATTGCAGCAGTACAATTTGCTTCAGACCTGACTCCATGAATGTAGTAGAATCAAATGACATCACATGATCACCAGCTTGGAAATTGTTCCGTTTTATGTCTGAATGCATCTCATAGTTGCTGATGGAATCCTCTTCTTCCTCTAAGTCAGATTTGCGAAGCCTTGAGGAAACACAGAATAATAAAATATAAAAAGTCAACAAGACCAACCAAACTGAAATCAATTATACTATTATCAGGAAAGAGGACACCTTGAAAGAAATGTGCACCTCTGTTAACTCAAAGACAAAGTTGATGTTACCGCCTCTTTTCTATCACTGACAACAGCATCTTATCCAGCGCACACGAGGACTACGATAAGGGGAATTCTAACTTATGCCATGCAGTCAAAATGCCACCACCTTGTAAAGCATTTCCTGGTAATTATGCTATGCTATAAAAGCAGAATGTCCTATAAGAGACTAGGGCTGAAACAACTAATCAACATAATCCATTATGGAAATAGTTGTCAATTATTTGTCACTATAATTTGGTGATCGTCGCCATTACTAGTAAAAATTTAAAAAGAAAAAAAGCCCAGTATATAAAACTTTCATGTAAACCAATTAATTGACACGTATTGGGATTTTGTTTAGCACAGACATGTAGCAGAATACATTTTGGCCTACATTTATGACGAAATTTGATTTTTTAAATTTTTTTTTACTGGACATATTGAATAGCAAAAAGTCCAAAATATAGTTTTTTTTCTCAAAATTGTCGTTTTTTTTTTTTGTTATAGCGCAAAAAATTTAAACCGCACAAGCGATCAAAACCCACTGAAAGAAAGCCCTAGTCGTGGTGAAAAAAGGAAGTAAATTTAATTTGGGTGCAGCGTTGCATGACCACGCAATTGTCACTTAAAGCATCGCAGCGCCATAATGCAAAAAATGGCCTGGTTAGGAAGGGAGGTAAATCCTCTGGAGGGCAAGTGTACTGTTTTCGTACAAGAAAAATTGGATACGAAAGACTGTGCAGAAACAATAATCTACATTACAACGTTTCTATGTCAAACAAAAAAAATGACTTTATACCATAAAAATGGATAATCGATCACCCGAATTTCTTGTGTACACAGTTTTAGTACAGCGATATGTTAATTTATATTTGTTCAGCCCATTGAGTTGAATGAAAAGAAACTTATAGTGTGTACCAGGCTTTAATTGATAGCAGGCACAAGTAGCTTGTATCAATCTACCTGCCTAGGGAGTCTGTCATGCATAATATTATGTTACAGTCTTGTCTGAAAATCTGCAAAACAGTGTTTAGGTCTTTTTTTATATTTTTTTTCTTTGAATATAAATTTTTATCTTGGAGTCTGATGACATGTACCAAACTCAACCTCTAATAGTACATACATCTCTTCTCTCTGTTAGTTTCAGAATGGATTATTTTGTTTCCCAACCAGCTGGTTATTTATATTTAACACTGCATATAGATATTCAAGAATAAAAGGTACTTTTTTAACTTTACATACTAACTAAATTATGCACCACACCTTTTTTTTTTAAGTTTTTATCCAATTAATTTAAACAATAATCGACCAACTAATCGATTATGAAAATAATTGTTAGTTGCAGCAGTATCAGAGACCTTTTTGAATTTCTATTCAAAAGATGTCCTAAAGTTAAGGTCAGAGACTGATATACAGCAGATGGATGTGCTCATTAGTTATCAACTACCATGGCATGCAGGAGGAGTCTTGCAAATTTTATAATCTAAAATGTGTAATTGTTGTAACAGCAGACTGATTGCTGACAGATGAAAGGGATTTGGGGGGGGGGGGGGTGATGGAATGCTTTTAATTTATTTTGTTATAATTTATTTTTTTAAACACTTCTTAAAATGTACTTCCTTATTTAACTTTATTGTTATCACAAGGGGCTAACAAGCCCCTGACTGATAGCATGGGTAGGTGACAGGACCTCTTTATGGGAGAAGAATGTTACCAGCAGACCAAGGTTCTTCAATATGGGTCCCAAGGTTAATAAGCAATCACGTAGCTACAGCAAGGGCTGTAATTGCTTATTAAAGCTTTGGACCCATACTGGAGAACCTCGGTGTGTTGCAGACCTTCTCCTGTGATGTTTCTTGGTTCCAGCCAATGGTCGCTGCAGCACCCACCTATACACATAGCCGCTCTTTGATGCAGGAACGTGTGCATTGGGATTGTGAAATTTTGTTTAGGTCCTCTTTCTGAAGACATCAGGGGTGTATTAGCCCCACCCCAATGTCTCACCTACATCTAATCAAGCCCAGGTAATGATTGATTGGTTGAGAGCTGCACTCAGACCTGAAGCCTTCAGCCTTTAGAACCACTTTTAATTTGCTGCTATGTATGAAAGCTGTGATCCCAGAAGTGATCTAATACTCTAATACCATGCTTTGAATGGTATAGTCATTACTGCGATCCTTGGTTCCCCAGAGGAACAAGAAAGTTCAAGAACCACTTTGGACACTACCAGCAGGGGTGCGGGTGGCGCACCTTAGAGCAGTAGTGGTCTCAAGTACAGCCCCCAACATCACCAAAAGGCCACACATAAAATTCAGTAAATATGCAGTGTCAGAGACAGCAAACACACAACAGGGATATAATCAAATACTATGGGCATGATATACAAGATTTTCAGAGACTGTGGTTATTAGACAGGAGATGGTCAGAGACTGCGGGCATAATACAGGATATGATCAGAGGCTGCTGACATAATACAGGAGATGATCAGGGACTGCAGACAAGATACAAGAGATGGCCAGAGACTGTGGATGTAACACAAGAGATGGTCAAAGACTGTGGACATGGTACAGGAGATGGTCAGAGACTGCAGAAATGATACAAGACTTGGTCATTGGAGTCTCCTGTAATAAAGACCTGTCAGTGCTGCTCTGTTTGCAGAATGACTGGTCTTGCTTCTTCCCTCTCCTTTATTCTATAGTGGGTGGGCCTGCTGGGTCCCATCCCACACCTCTGCTCTCTATACAAACTAAGAACAGCACAGTATACAGTTGTGTTCAAAATAATAGCAGTCAGACATCACTAACCTGATCAATCACTGTTTTTGGTAGAAATGATATTTCTACATGGCAAATAATTTACTAGCAGGTGTAGTAGAGTAATAGAAATCCAACAGACCCAACAGTCATGACATGCATGCTGCTGATTCTGTGTAATTGAATCACTAATTGAAAGGGGCATGTTCAAAATAATAGCAGTGTGGAGTTCTATTAGTGAGGTCATTCATTCTTTGAAAAACAGGTGGCAATTATTGCCCTTATTTAAGGAAGGAAGGCAGCAAATGTTGTACATGCTGGTTACAGTGCATTTCTTTCTGAAATTCTGAGGAAAATGGGTCGTTCCAGACATTGTTCAGAAGAACAGTGTACCTTAATTAAAAAGTTGATTGGAGAGGGGAAAACATATAAAGAAGTGCAGAAAATGATAGGCTGCTCAGCTAAAATGATCGCAAATGCTTTAATATGGCAACCAAAACCTGAAAGACGTGGAAGAAAGCGAAAAACTACCCTTCGAATGGATAGAAGAATAGCCAAAATGGCAAGGACTCAGCCAACAATCAGCTCCAGGAAGATCAAAGAAGGTCTAAAGTTCCCTGTGAGTACTGTTACAATTAGAAGACGCCTATGTGAAGCCAAGCTATCTGCAAGAAGTCCTACTGTTGAAAAAAAGATGTGTGCTGAAGAGGTTACAATTTGCCAAAGAGCACATTGACTGGCCTAAAGAGAAATGGCGCAACATTTTGTGGACTGATGAAAGTAAGATTGTTCTTTTTGGGTCTAGTGGCCGGAGACAGTTTGTCAGACGACCCCCAAACACTGAATTCAAGCCACAGTACACTGTGAAGACAGTGAAGCACGGTTGCGCAAGCATCATGATATAGAGATGTTTCTCATACTACAGTGGTGGGCCTATTTATCGCATACCAGGGATCATAGATCAGTTTGAATACATCAGAATACTTGAAGAGGTCATGCTGCCTTATGCTGAAGAGGAAATGCCCTTGAAATGGGTGTTCCAACAAGACAACGACCCCAAACACACCAGTAAACGTGCAGCATCTTGGTTCCAGACCAACAAGATTGACGTTATGGAGTGGCCAGCCCAATCCCCGGATCTTAAACCAATAGAAAACTTGTGGGGTGACATCAAAAATGCAGTTTCTGAGGCAAAACCAAGAAATAGAGAGAACTGTGGAATGTAGTCCAATCATCCTGGGCTGGAATACCTGTTCACAGGTGCCAGAAGTTGGTTGACTCCATGCAACACAGATGTACAGTAGTTCTCAGAAACAGTGCTTATACAACTAAATATTAATTAAGTGATTCAAAGGAAAGCAAAATCTTCAAACATTTTTCAGTTTATATAGTGAATGTTTGAGTTTGTAAAGAAGAATACAAACACTGCTATTTTTTTGAACAGTCTAATATTCACTTTTCTTCAATTTTATTTAGAGGAACAACACAAATTTGATATATATTTCTTCATGTTTTGATTTGGAATAGAATGTGTAGTGTTCCCAATGCATTTGTATGTATGGAAATAAAAGCTATTAGAAGGATTTTGAGCTTTATTCACGTTTTTTTCAACACACTGCTATTATTTTGAACACAACTGTGTATGTACAGCACTTTGTACAGCACCTGATGTCACTACTATTTTTTCAAGGAAATAACAGGGCTTGCAAAGGCAGATTTAGGAGGCTGTATTGCTTATTTAAATAACAAACATGTGCCACACATAATGTTCAGTATATATGTAATGCTTGAAAATACTGTCAGAAACTACGGTCTAATAGAATAAATGAGGATCAGAGAGTGTGGACAAGCTATGTTTTTGGTTGGGGATATGCTACAGAAGACAGTAAGAAACTGGGAACATGTTACATGACGCTTGTAGAGATCAATGCTACTACCCAAGGTCAAAGTGCCGCGCTTCATATACCAAAGGGCTGCAGGTTGGGCACCAAGAATCTATAAACAAAAACAGTGCAACTTGGCCACCACCCCCACTCACAGGATTTGATTAACAGCAACAGGAGGCCCAATGGCTGCCGTAGCTGCCTTTCTGTCCTGTGAATGTAGTGAGAGAGGTTGCACTACAATCCGCTACAGGCAGGCACAGCGCTGGATCGAGTGAGGATTTGGGTAAATAATTGGGGGGGGGGGGGGGGGGGGGGGCAGGGGATAGAGTTCATATAAACACTGGGACTTACCCTAATGCAGGGAATTCATTAAGCGAAAATGTGTTTAGCCCTTACAACCCCTTTATATACTTTGTGGCTATGGAGGAATACATTTGAATTAAAATTTTTGTTTGCATGCGTTCGTTATTTGAGACACGTGCCCAATGTACTATATAGTTCACACTACAATTATACCTGGAAGGCAAGAATTTTATTAACAATTCTTGAAAATCGATTCTCTCCTCCTTTTTGCATTTAGTGTTACGGACCCGGGCAGAGCGTCTTTTAGCTGTTTCCCCGGCATCCTCAGACACCCTCTTCCTCTTCACACCTTTCTTGCTCTTGTCACTTGCCAACTGATCTAATTTAAAAGCAAACATAAAAAAAGGTTACTTTGAATACTTAATTAGCTTAACAAATTGATAAGAGATCCTATATCACCTACAAAAATCGTCAAAACAAGACAAAAACATTTTTTTCACCAAGAAGGCAAAATGCTTTATTGAATGGAAAAAAAAACCCCCTAGAAGATTACGGTAAGCAAACTGAAAAAAAAAGGGGCAACCTCCATGGTAACAATAGAAGTAGGATACTGATCATAACACAGTAGTGGAGACCTGTATGGAATATTAATTTGCTGGCAACAAAAAAAAAAACAGTCAGCACAACCCCTTATGAAGAGGATACGCCTATCTCAGGGAAGATAATATATGGGAAAAATACATACATCTATATGGATAATAAGGAGAAAATTTTTACTTTTTTTCTACATACTTACCTGTAAAATCCATTTCTTGGAGTACATCATGGGACACAGACCAGGCTATTCATGACTATGTGGGTTATAGATTATAAATTCTTACATGACCGCATGGATTCCCCTATATCCTTGGATCCTAAACCATGTTTATTGGGAATTCTCCCTAATCCAGATTCTGATAAGTATTTGACTACGTTTTTACATGAAACTTTGTTTAGCGCCAGGAAATTGGTAGCCCGCTACTGGAGGAGTGGATGCCAGATATTAACAATACCCTACCTTTAAAGAAAATTATATATGTTAATAGAGACTGCCCTAGCAAATATAGCAAAATTTGGGATCACTGGCTACAATCTGCAGACACCTGCACTTATATAGCGATGGTTTGGATTAGCTTCATGTATTGGCTGTAAATATGTTCTTTATCATACATCAAAGGACACAGAGCAGGCTTTTCATGACTACGTGGGTTATAGGCCACCTATAGATGAACGGACACTGGCTGACCAATCAGAGAGGAGGTCCTCCCCTATATAACCCCTTTTATACAGGAAGTACCTCCATTTTTGTAGCAAGCAATGACACTCCAGAAAGAGGGGTGGGACCTCTGTGTCCCGTGATGTACTCCAAGAAACGGATTTTCACAGGTAGGTATGTAGAAAAAATCCAATTTTCTTTATCGTACATCACGGGACACAGAGCAGGCAATTCATGACTATGTGGGATGTCCTAAAGCAATAAGAAATTTGAGGGGAGGGTGACACCATGATAGCCACCGTCAATAATCCCTCAGGACCTACTCAGCCGTCCATAAAGCACTGCCGCCAAAGGCAGAATCCTCTGCGGCTCTGACATCCACCTGGTAGAACCTTGTGACTGTGTGAACTGCAGACCATGTAGCGGCCTTCCAAACCTGAGCCACTGAAGCCTGATGGAAGATTTCCCAAGATGCCCCCACACTCCTGGTGGATTGTGCCTTCACCAGAAAGGGTGGGACTTTACCTTTCAAACCATAGGCTTGAATGATCAATTTGCGGATCCAATGAGAAATAGCCGCCTTGGATGCCCCCTTCCCCTTTCTAGGCCCCTCTGGCAACAAATATAGTGTATCTGGCCTCATGACCTGTGCTACAGCCTTCAAGAAGACCCTTACAACATGAACCACATCCAAGGTATGCAGAGATCTTTCTCCTGCTAGCTGAGGCCTAAGAAAGAATGAAGGCAGAACTATATCCTGATTGAGATGAAAACCAGAAATGGTTCTCTGCAAGATAGAGCTGCAAGCTCCGACATCGTTTTTGCAGAAGTGATTGCCACTAGAAGCAACACCTTATGAGTCAACAGGACCAGTGGAATCTCTCCAATAGGTTCAAATGGTGGCTTTTGCAAATCCTCCAAAACCAAGTTCAGGTCCCAAGGACACAAAGGCAACCTGACAGGAGGAGCCATATGCATTACTCCTTGTTAAAGAAGTGCGGACCAAAGAGTGAGACATAATGGGCCTCTGGGAAAAAAAATAGCTAATGCTGAAACCTGGCCCTTAATGGTACCAACAGCCAAATTCTTCTGCAACCCTGTTTGAAGAAACGGCAGAATCCTGCCAATCACATACTTTTGTGGGTGCCATTAGTGAACCTCACACCAGGCAATGCAAGCCGTCCAGGTTCTGTAATAAATGTTACCCTAGAAACTTCCTTTCTAGCACACAACATGAACGGTGATGAAAGAATCCAACACTCTTCTATCCTTCAGGATTTGGGATGGTTTCAATACTCCACGCCGTCAAATCTGGAATTTAGCGACCGTAAAGCCGATGTGCGACTGCTATGGCATATAGGACCTTAGACAACAGAGTCAACTACTCAAAGTTCCAGGACATTGATGGGAAGAACCCTTTTCCGTGGAAGCCATGTTCCCTAAACTGTGGCCTCCTCCAGAACAGCCCCCCAACCTGAAAAGCTTCCATTGGTGGTTACCAACTTCCACAACACTGGCCGAAAGGATCTTCCCTTCTTCAAATTGTTATCAATCACCAATTCAGGCTCTGCAGCACCTATGGAGACAGAGATATGCAGTAATCCAGGGCAAGAATCATTTTGTTCCAAACGGACAGAATGTACCTTTGCAGTGGTCTGGAGTGGAATTGAGCACAGGGAATAGTCTCCAACGAGGACACCATTTTCCCCAGCAACCTCATACAGAGGCGAATTGAAAGATACTTCTTGGCCTTCAAACTGCAAACCTTGTTCCTCAGGGCGCAACATTTACCTGGAGGCAGAAATATCTTTGCCTGAACCATGTCTAGGGCTATCCCAAAATACTCCAGGGTCTGCACTGGTTCCAGGGCCGACTTCTTGAGGTTGAGCACCCAGTGCAGCTCTTCCAGGATCTGCATCGTAAGGACCACACCCTGCTTCAGACCGGCACTGACCGATTTCTGAGCAAGAGATCGCTAGATAACCTGTGACCAATACTCCCCAAGTTCTGAGTAGCCCCAACACCGGAGCAAGAATTTTTGTAAAAATGCTGGGAGCCGTGGCCAACCCAAACGGTAGTGCTATGAACCGAAAATGCTGAGCCCCTACTACAAACCGCAGAAATCTTTGGTGAGGAATGAATATCGTTACATGCAGGTATGCGTCCTTGACGTCTATGGACGCCAAAAAATTTCCCTCCTGTAGGGCGGCCACTACTGACCGAACCGATATCATACGAAAGGATCGGACATTTAGGAACAGATTTAGCCCCTTGAGGTCCAATATTGGCCCTACATCCCCATATGGTTTTGGGACTGTAAACAGGTTTGAATAAAACCCCTGAAACCTTTCGCCCCCGCTGGAACCTCCGTGATTACTTCTTGAGCCAATAGACAATCGAGTTTCTGAAATAAAGCACTTCTTTTCTATGGATTCGTTGGTACATTTGATCTTAGAAACCGCGCATGGGAAATACCCGAAATTCTAGTCTGTACCCAAAGGAAATGGAAATGTCCCATTTGTCTTGGACTAGAGCCCTCCTGCGGCCACAAAATTTAAAAGCCTTCCCCCCACCCGAACAAGTGGGGGTGTCCCCTCATACGGAGATGGACTTTAGATCTGTCTTAGATGACTTTTGCACCCAGGGCCTCCTTGGGTTTTGATTCTGAGATCTACACCTGGAGGCTGGCACCTGTGTGTGGCGAAACGACTGCCTGGAAGTTGAGGGCCCAGCAAACAAAACCTGACACCTTAAAAGAAGGGCGTTTGAATTTCCTTTTAAAGGGTAGAAGAGTACTTTTACCACATGAAATCTTTTGGATATATTTATCCAAATCTTCCCCAAACAGCCGTTCCCCATGAAAGGGAAAGCCTGCCAACAATTTTTTGCATGGCAGTTCTCCTGACCAACTCTTCAGCCACAAAACCTTGTGCATGTGCACGGATAAGAGGGCCAAGTGAGTAATTTGCTGAATTGAATTCTTAAGAGCATCAACTGTGAAACACAAAGCACGTGGAACATCTTCCAAATCCTTGGCAGAGCATACCCCCTGCACTGATGGTCTTCTAATTTGTTGTTTGACACAGTCAGAAAGACTCTGGCAAATGCCAATAGCTGCCACAGCTGGCTGTGCAGCAGAACTTGCCAGGGAGAAGGAGGCCTTAAGAAGAGATTCTAGCTTCTTATCTGCTGGGTCCTTGAAAACCTATACATTATCCACAGGACATGTTAAAGATTTATTCAGGTATGAAAAAGCTGCATCCAAAACATCCACTACAGGCAACCCCTATTTCTAAACTTTTGTTCCAAGGGTACAGAACAGAAAACCTCTTTGGTGGAACAAAAACCCTGTCTGGGTGGTCCCAGTCAGCATACATAATTTGCTCCAGAAGCAAATGCACCAGAAATGAATGAGTACTCTGTGAAGGCTTCAAAATGGCCCAGGGAAGAATAAGTAACCTCAGAGGTTTCTATCGGAGGTAGCCTGAATCCACACCATACCATATCAATGAGGTCTTGGACTAAAAATCTTTGAGATTGGGAGGCAGAGACCTGCTTCTCCTCAAGCTGTGACTCCTCAGACAGAAATTCTACAGCCTGACCTTCCAGCTCCTCCTTATCTTTAGGCTCCACCCATTCCTGCCCCAGGATTGGTGGTTCTGGTGATGGGGATCTATCACACTTTTTAGTCCCCTGAAAAACTCATGCAATCATCCCAGCGATCTTATCTTCTAACCCCGCTAAGGCTGAAGCAAGATCATCCTTGGCTACATATGCTGAGACAGAAGCCCCAGTAGCAGACACAATGCTAGATAGACACAGTGGCACAGACAGCCAAATCACTTCTGGCCTGTCAGGAGAGAAGATTACAGCAGACCTTTGGCTAGGTTCCTCAGGACCTGGCGGTGGTGCATTAGCTCCTTTTCCTGCTGCACCTCCCCCACTCAGCTTTCTGAAAGACGTCATTTCAGATCGTACAAACCTGTGTACCTCCACTCGTAACACAAATCACAATGATACAGCTATGCAAGTAGTGTGCTGAAAAAACACTCAATACAAATGATGCCTTATGAGCCACCTAGGGTGGCTCCTGACTGACTGGTCCATGCTTCCCCCTCAGGGGA